AAAATATGTAATATATTAATAATTAGACAAATATATCATATAGAAATAAATGATCTTATCTATTAATTAATGATAATCTTGAAAAATATATAATATATCAATAATTAAAAAAGTAATAGTTAAAAAGTCATATAGAAGTAAGTAATTTTAACTACTTAGAATATATATATATATTGAAGAATAAAAAAACTAATTAAGTATATTTTATTATATTAATAAATCAAGATAAATTTTTAAATCAAGATAAATTCTCATATAAAAACATAAAATTTAAAAGCAATATTAAAAAAAATATACTTTGTAAAATAGCTTTCTAATATATTTATTATTCTCACAATTTTTTAATCCCTTATGCTCTTAAATATCATATTTCTAATAAACATCCTATTTTAATTCAATCTGAAGAATCAGCTTTTATTCTTTCTATTGCTTTATTACCTATTTATGAGGAATCTGAACTATAGGATAATCTTGAAATTGCTTCTAATTATTTATTAGATTCCTCAAATATATTAGAAAGTAAAGAAAAAATAATAATAATATTAGAATATGAAGAAATGGTAAATTAAAATAATATAATATATTATTATTTAATATTTTTTTATAATATACTAATTATTTAATCTATAGGATTTAAATTACTCTGATGATTTGGAATCAAGAATAATATTTACAAATATAGAAGAAATAGTTAATCTTATAGTTTTATTCTCAATTCTCTTGGAAGACTCTAAAAGAATATTACTAGATGATGTTATTAATAATTATATATATCCACAAGAAGTTGAATAGCTAAACAAAGTTTATTATAGCTTTATAGAACTTATAATAAAATATTAATTATCAAATATCTGTGATACTAAAATAATTAAATAGTTTAATGCAAGTGCTAATATAAAAGAAGTTCTTTATCTAAAAGTACCAAAAAGGATTATGAGTTTCTTAATAATATTAAATTTTTATATCTTAATTTTAAAAAAGTATCTATAATCAATTTTCAAGAAATAGAATATATTTTTTATTATTAACCAATAATTTAAAGCATTAAAGCTTTTCTACTTCAATCTGAAATTAGTAATGAATTCACTTTATCATATCAAAGAAAACTAAAATTAAAAATAATCAGAAATTATAGATTTATAATAAATAATTCAAGAGTGAGTGGTAAAAAAAACAGAATTGATTATATCTCTTAATAACTGATTATTATTAATTATTTTTTATTTTGATGTAATAACTTGTGATTAATTAGAAAAAATAATAGAATATCCTATATATCTTTTACTTGATAATATTTCTAATTAGCAACAAGATAAGTCTTATAGAAAAATACTTATTAGATATTTATCAAAACTAAAGGCTAAAGATATATATATATAAAATACTGAGCTATTTTGAAAATTATAAAAATAAGCCTTCTAATAATATCTTTGTATATTATTAATATCTATCTTAAATTAACAAGATATATATTTCATTATAAAGGATCAAATATATATCTTTACATCTAAAATTTCAGTTATTCTCACAAATATAATAGAAGTTAAATTATTTATTGAAATATATCTTCTATCAATATCTAAGTAATCTTGTTATACTTGTTATATGACTAATAATAATCTTAATAATATACTATTATCTAATATAATTCTTTAAATATCAGAAAAAATATAAGTAATAATTAATATAAAATAATTAAAAAAATATTCTATTCATAATGAGAATAATTTCTTATAGAGTTTTGAATTAGTATAAAATTTTTTTAATAATTAATTAATATTAATATGAATTATAATTATTTGATTAATTATATTAGTAATTTTAATATTTATAAAGTAATAATTCCTAATAGAATATATTTGCTTAATTTGAATATTTCAAAATATCTTTTAGAATTTATCCAAATATATATTTAACAAAAAGTAGGAATAATAATTATTAAGAAGGTAAATTTATAATTATATATAATTCTCTAATATCAAGTACTTTTAATTATAAAAAATGATCTAGAAAATATATTATAATTTATAGCTAATAATTATTGTAATATAATAAAGATGATAATTTTTATAATAGATAATTTATTTGTCAAATATAAGAATAGTGGAGTTCTATGTGAGAGATTATATAAAATATTCTATAAGTATATAAAAATATATATAAAAACTTATTAAGAATCATTTATTGATAATGATTTAACTAAATTAGAAATAAGTTAAGTCTTTATTATATTGTTTTAGCTATAATGATAAGATAAAATAATAGTTATACAGATTATTATTTTATAAATAGGTATTAATAATTAATTTCTATCAAGAATTTATAAGTATATTTGCAAATTATTCTTCTAGTCAATATAGAATATCTAAGAATTATATACTTTAATATTATATTATTTCTACAATTTGATATTATAAAGTAATAAATGGAATATTTATCAAGATCTTTAAGATTCTTCATAAGAAAAATATTAAAAATTTATACTAAATATCTAACAAAAAAAATTATATAATACAAATAATAAAAATAGTAAACTAATATCTATTGATATTTATTAATATATACTAATAGTTATTATTATTAATATTTTATTATAAATATGATGCAAGATCTTAGCTATACAAAAAATACTAATATTATTTATTAAAAAAAGATTCTGATTTTCAAAATCTTCTATAAAAATTATGGATAACTAAAATAGATAAAATAGTTTCAAAAAATATTAATATTTATTGACTATATCAATAAGACTTTAATAATTTTTAAATAGGACTTGAAAAGTTCTTTAGCTTAAATAATAAGTTATATAATCAAGAATCTGCATATTTTAAAATATATTTAAGTACTTATATGAAATTAACTAATATTATTTAAGCAACTAATATATTTTATGACTTGAAGTGATTCAGTAATATAGCAGTCTTTGTTAATAAAAAAAAAAGAAATTTTTTAATATAAAAAGATATAGTATATAGTATAATATTATAATGCTATTTATTTATGATATTAATATTATAAAAGCTTCTATTATTAATAAATAATAATCTTAAATTTAGATATTATTATATTTGAATTTTTTTATATAAAAAATCATGAGTCATTAAAACTTATTTTATTATATTAATATGATATATTAGATGAAAATAAAGATGAAAATACAGAACTCTATAAATATCCAAAATTATAGTTGACTAAATTATATATATATATTTATTTAGATTTAGTTAATATAATAGTATATATTATATTAAGATACGAAAAAAATAATAAATATTTATTAAATAAATATATTTTTTAATATTAAATAAAAAGTATTTTAGAAGTTTCAAGACTTGAAAATAATTAAATGTATGAGTGTATATATATTTATTTAGATTATATAATCTAAACTAATATTAATATAATAAACTGATTTTAAAAGAAGTATTTGAGTTAACTATTAATATATATTATTTGTTATTAATAAATAATATATTATGATAATAATTAATATATTATTATATATCAATAAATAATATATTAATAATAATTAATTATTATCAATATGAATATTTATTAAAGATCATCAGAATTATTGATTAGTATTAATATTTTAGAGAGATATTATTGATTTTTACAAATATAATGATGATTCTTAATAAATATCTCTCCAAAAAATTTTCTGATATATTCTTCTTAAGTATTAATATGATTAAATATAAAGATATTAATTAATTATACTATTTTTTATTTAAGTTAGATAGTATATATATCTCACTAATATCAAGTTAAATTAATTTATAAAATAATAAATATGCAATTTGATTAATTAATACTACTCTAATATTTTCTGTGAACAAGTAAAAAGTCCAAAATTATAAAGAAAAATTAATTTGAAGAAGATATAATAGGAATAAAAGTATTGAGAGAATATTCTAATTATAAAACTATGATTTTGATGTGCTTGAAGATGATAATTAATAGGTAATCCAATAAAAGAATAATAATTGATCATAAAAACTCAGAATACAGTTATTTATTAATTACTTGAATAATAAAAAAAAATATGAAAGAATATATAAAAAAATATAAATTTAATAAAATATGTGAAAAAAATCTTTCTTTACAAAGGATAATAATAAAAATAAAGCAAAATATGAATCTCTGAGAATTTTTTTTCACAGAGGATGTACTAAAAATATATTATAGCAAATTGATAAGTTTTCACTTGAATTCATTTTAATAATATTGAATTGGAAGAAACTAAATTAATTAAAGAGTAAAGAGAGAAGAATTAGACTATACTTCAATACTGACAAAGATTTCTAAGACCTGTGTCAATATCTACAGATATTATTTTTAATAAAGAGACAATTAAATAATAAAAGAATAAAATAAATCAAGAAAATTATAAAAATCAATTAGTAAAGCCACTAGTAATCAATATAATTCAGAATTTAAAGCAATTAAATAGTAAAGCTACTATTAATCAAAGAAGACTATGACTAATAAAAGATAAAAACTAAAGTAAAATATTCATCCTTGATGTTTTGATTGGGAAAATGGCAGGAATGCTATTATACTTGTTATACATGAAAAAAAAATAAAAGACAGATTTAATCTTAATTCATAATTACTGAATCAAGACTTACATGTTATTAAAAATTCTAGAAATGGCTTGACTAATTTCAAAATTATATACAAATAAAAAAATGATCTTTCCTTTTAAACAATCAGTAAATATATTCTGTAAAAAGAATACAATCTCTATTGGTAGTACTGGATCAGTTATAACATATAGATTTTTACATATAATATTTTGCCATTTCCAATTTGTGAAAATCAAAGCAGGATAAGAACAAGATAAGCTGAATATAATTATTAAAGACAATGCCCTATTAGGCATGCAAAGTTATTAGAATAATATATCATCCAGTATTATTATATATTCAAAAATACTTATAATATTTTATAAAAATCACTCTATTTTAATTTATTGATCTTTACCTTCTCAAGTATATCTATCTGATATTGTCTAAATCTTTAAGATATATTGATAGAACTAACTATCCACTAAAAAACAGAAGTAAACTGTAAGATATTAATAATAAAAGAACAAAGATCTTGATGTAACATACCTTATTGATTGGTTTCTGTTGCAATTCTTTTTCAATAACTGTAAAATCAAACTTTATTTTCTCATTTTCAAGATCTATATCAAACTTTTGGCTATTATTTCTTGGTCTCATGTTTGGAGTACTTTTCATATTTTTTTGTTTAAATATAAAAAATACATGAGCTTATGTTTTCTTAACTTTATCACCTATAATTTTTACCTTTTTATGTAAAATGTTTCTTTCAATTTCATTTACTCATTATAAGTGGTTGATAATTCTATACCTTCAGTTAATACTTCTTGTTTATATAAGTATTCAGTAAACTGTTTACAGAAAAAAGTATTAGAACAAGTAAATATAATCCTAGATACATCTCTGTTACAAATAGTCAGAACTTTAATAACTAAAACATTCTTAATAATACCTCATCCTTATCATATTCAGATATCAAAAATGGATTATTTTCAGTATTCAAGATTGTTTTTTGACTTGAATCAAGTGTGTGATATGTTAATTACAGATAACAATAGATGAATTTGATGATAATATAACTTACTTTCAAGGCAAGTTCATTTCATCCTCTCTGCCCATTGCTTTGTTCTAGTATAGAGAAGCATATGGATAAGTTGGACTTATTTCTTAGAGCTTTAAGAATTGCCTTACTTTTTGGTATTTACTTTGCAAAGGAAAGATATTAGAATAGTCTTTGGAGATTGATGTTTTTGCATTATGTTCTGCAACTTTGCTGTACACTTTCATACTGCCAATAATATGTGCTTGCTTTGCTTCCATCTATTTTGCAAAAGTTTGATCATTATTTATATAGTAAATAAAGATAACAAAAGAATACCTTTTCCCATTCATAGATTATTTCTTTCCAGTAGGTCTTCAAACTTTTGTTTGCACTTTGCTTTTTTACCTGAGTGGAAATAAGAAAACGTTAATTTGGACATTTCCATATTACAAGCAAACAGGACAGCCAATACTCCAGTCCAGAAGACAATAAACAAGAACTACCATCACTATTACTCTGGATGGAATGACAGCCAATATTCCTAGTCCAGACAACAATAAACAGGAGCTCCCTATTACAAAGAGGGAATAATACACGACCTGTTTTTCTACAGCCTCATAGTCTGATTTCAGTATTTTTGCTTGATTCAGAAATCTACGAGTCCAAGGGAGGTTAAGAACAGTCCAATCGTTCGAAAAAGGTTGCGAGGAAAGAATAACACTGCGGTGAAGATTTAAAAATTCAGTGTAGGACCATTCTTGTGCTCGTTCAAGTAAGAGATAAGTTCTGTAATAATTTGTTATGGCAAGTTAGAAAAGAAGGAACCTATTTTTCTATTAAATTGCGATCTACACTCACGAGTATAACCAGAGTAGTCGTTGCTCATGATGCAAATCAACTTTGTGAACAATTATTTTTCAGAAAAAACGATTTGCAAGACCCACTAAAAATAGTTCACAATCACATGATATAAATCATATTTACATGAAATACAGATTATCCTAACAAATTCCGTTCCTATGCCACAAGTAGTAAAATCACATGAGCGTTCCGAACTGAGAATAAATTCTTAATCATAATGGTTATTAATTATATTATCCGAAATGGTTCTCATACACGAATGGGTAAGTTGCAAATAGAAAAGTTTGTACTGATAGCATACATATAACTTTGTTATTCCGATAAATGGTTAAAAAATAAAAGCCTGCTAGCAAAGTCAATGCTGTGCACGGATCTTATGAGTCTGGACTTTTATTTCGAAATCATGTGCAATGCATCTCGGTAGGCGACTTGTGATATCCGGATCACGCTTCAGATTTTATAATATAGCGACATCAATGCATCATTTTTCCGATATTTTTACAAACAAGTGTGATCGCTGGGTCACATAACGTAAATGTGTTATAATACATACCCGCATACTGTGTTAAAAACGATAAAACTCAGATTATTGGAAATACAATTTAGGCTACTACTGATTCGCCTTCAAAACTTTGGCTATTACATAATCGATATCATCTTTACTCAGCTTTGAAATAGATAACGCAGAAAAGGATTTAACCCGACCTATCATTTCATGAATCGAAGACTCCGCACTCTGCACGTTACCGTTAATACCATTAAAAAGTCAAAAAACCGTTATCGTCCTTTTTTCTTTTTCGAATAGTAGTCTCTGTAATTCTGTCTTGATTGGGAATGTGTTCCTTAATTTTATCATTAACCAGGCTATTAGAAGAATCCTCGCTATATGTTTTATCATAAAAACTAAACCACAACATATATCCTTTCCCAAAACAATGGTAGCTTCGAATTAGATCCTGACTAGTTTTTTGATTATTATCTTCGGCTTTGATGATCATGTCATTTAATTCGTGAAAATTAACCGAGTTTATGTTCATTTCGGGGAATGTCTGCAAATTAATAGTACCATCAGAAGAATTTTGCGAGAGAGTAGAATGCCCAATTCCTTGATTAGCCTTTTCAATATAGGAGAATCATCTCTATTAACTGGCTTCTTGACTTTTTTGTTTTGAGGAAGTATTTACCGAGGTGGGTTCGTTAACACGCTTTTGTGGTAGGACAGTAGATGATTCTTCCACTCGATGCTCTGTTTCTTCATTTCCATCCATATCCACGTCTCGATCCTGGGATGAAATTCTAGGAGAACCAATTCCAATATTACGGGTAAATTCGCCAACTAGAGTCGAGGTCCCACTTGTTTGAGAAGATACAGAGTCTCGTCTTGAACCCTCATCAACAACATCAACGCTTTTGCCACAACCGGAAAAAGGGCATATACTTGGTACCGTATGCATGATTTTTTTCTCAATACAAACTCTGTGAAAGACGTGTCCACATTCGAGTATAGTAAATGCCTTATAAGAAACTGCTAAAATATCTTTGGTACAGATTGAGCATTTCGGGATTTCTGGGATTTCGATTTTTTGAATTATAGTATCTCCTGTGATTTTGAGGATATTATATGCAAGAGCTTTGAGGTTAGAAAAGCAATAACGATGAAGGTTATGACCAGATAAGTAGTTTCATACCCGTTTTTATAGTTCATTGGTTATTATTATCAATTCTACTCATTAGCTAAATTAATATTCTCGGGATAGCGATCTTGAATCTCGGATGATGATTAAACCAAATAAAGATATCCCTTATCCCACAAAAATTAATTATCGGAAGAAAGAAAGACCCATATACATATGAGACGGGAAAACTATCTACCACTATTTTTGGCCTTGCCAGCTCCGCTTATTTTTTCTTGCACGCGTTGCTTCTTGAATTCGGGTTCATCACAAGTAGAAATCTTATCTTTCAATAACCCCACAATTAAACCAATTACCTGTTTTATATCATCCCTCAAATTTTCATGATTTCCCTTAAGTGCCTTTTTCATAAGATTTATCTGATATTCGCTATTACTTGTACAGAAAATTCCATCAGAAGTAAACATAATGAAATGCCAATCCACGGCTGTGGAGACAATCCCATATAGATAGTCGTAATCCCCACCCTTGAATGCTTCGTCCGCAGTTCGCTTCTTCTTATTCATGTGGAACGAGCTTTCAAGTTGTTTGATATTCTGTAGGTATGGCGTAATCGACTCTACCGGATGCTTCTTCTCCCGAAATATCCCTTTCTAGTTCTATGTTAATCTCTTTACCTGTCAACCTTCGTGTAATTGCAATCGATGCATGTAAAATTGATGAAATAAATTCACAGCGGGTCGCCTCGTTGGCCTCTATCATTGATTTTACATTCGTTAACCACAATATTATTTCGTTCATGTATTGTTCAAGGGCTTTGTCATTATCATTGATTTCCTCGAACACTACAATAGAAAAAGCGAATTATTTTATATCTGGAAATTTTTCTGATCGTTCCCCGAGGGAACGGTTTTTACTGACCACTTTTGCCAAGAAATTTTAGCGAACTATTTTGATGAAAAGTTCGCCCAAATTATGCCAAGAAAAAATTAACACATACCCGGGTTGAACTGCTTAATACTTGTTATATCTTCCCCATTGACCTTGTATTTGCGGAGCACGTCCTTCAGTACTTCCAGAGTTTTATATGACAAGAAGCTACGTATTTTCTGCTCTTTGAGATCCTCAATAAATTTTACTAACGTTATAGCCGTTCCTAATTCAAAACCACAGCGTTCAAGTCTCTCTTCTGTTAACTCGAGAAAGGCAAGACCGGTAAAGGTTGGAATAAGTGGGGATGGATCCACACTCTGTATGTCATCATCAGAGTCAGAATCAGAAGTATCTGATGATCCAGAATTGGACTGCTCATATGATGAATCGTAATCTTCAATATGTATATTTGGATTAAGTCGTTTTATGATCTTCTCACTAATATTTTCACAATCTTTCAAACTAAGATATTTTAGATTGAGGCATGAACGAGCTATTTCTTTAATGGTTGTATCGGAAATGTCACAAAATCCAAGTTCAAGATGCTGAAGTTTAGGACAAGATCAAATAACATTATATATTGATGGTTTGGTAATGAATTCACATCCTACAAGATCAAGATATTCCAATTCATGGCATGGATATGTTACTGCTTCAACAATCTTATCCCTGATATCATTACCAGAAATATCAAAATATTTTAAATTTGGAGAAGATCTGATAATAGCTATAATAAGAGAATCATTTCGAAAAGCCATAATATGGTCAAAATCAAGATACTCTAATTTGAGATATGTTTGTACTAATATACTGGCATCTTTGATTTTTCCATGACTAGATGGTATACTTAAATATCATAAATTATTTAGTAATTTTTTAGATAAAAAAAAGATTAATAGTTTTACTTTTTCTTTATAAAAAGTATCAATCTCTAAGTCTAGTACATTTACTAAATCTCTATCTATAATATTATAATTAATAATAATATCTAATATAGTTTTAACTAGTATTTTATTAATTTTACAAGATAAAATTCTCATTATATTTTATTATAATAATATATGTAATTATATTTTTTCTATATATTAATAATAAATTAATTAAAATCCAATAATTAATAATAGCTGTAAAATAATTATTTCTGATAATAATATCTTAAAATTAGTATCTAAAATTGTTAAACAGATATTATATATATATTTCTATATCACTCTAATTAGTAAAATCCTTCAAATCTAATTTCTCAGCTAAACTGAGTTCATTAAGATAGATTTCTTTTACTTTTTATCTTTTTCTTTCAGAATATAGAAGAATTTCAATTTTTCTTTATCAATTAATAAAAATAGTAAAATTTAAGATTTGATAAGATATTATAAATATAATAGCAAATTTAGATATTGCTAAAAAATAATATATTATATTTATAGACTTAAAGAGCTATTACTTTGTAATAAAAAAAAGCATATTTATAATTATTTCTCATCTTCATCTTTATCTGGATTTAATCTGAATTATTTAGCTATAAAATAACTATCTTCAGTAATAATAATAAAGTTTTACTAGAAATATAATGAAAATAAAAAAGTATAATTAGTCTTTATTATAAAAATAAAATAATTTTACTTGATCAAATAATTATCTCTTCTTATAATAATTTACTATAATATAATTCTATATTAAAGAAGTATAGTTATTATTTAAATAACATAAATATTCTTTGGTAATAATATAAATATAGACTATATTCTTAGTCTTATATACTATCATATTATAAATAACATATATTTTTCATAAGTATTTGAATATTAAATTATAATTTTTTAAGAATCTATTGAATTATTTAACCCCTGGCTTACCTGGATTACCCATTCGACCAGAATATATAGTATTTTGTATCTAAGTGAGTAAATCTCG